TCCCTTCCTTCCTTCTTTTCTTCCAACCATCTATCATCCATACATAGTAGGTACTAAGATTTTTATTGAATTAATTCATTTAAAAAATATTTATTGAGAGACGTAGTAGGTGCCAGGCACACTATATCAAGTGATATAGAGAGCATAAAATACATAGACATTATCCTAACTGACATAAAGCTGAATACGAGCTGGACAGAACAGGTGTCCTAAGAGATGCCCTAAGAAATTACCACTGGCCGTAGGGATGTTATATGAAGGAAAATCTAAATTTTGGTGATAAAATCAATAACCACTATTTACTGAACAGTCTTCATTTTTTTCTGTATGTCTGTTTCCTAATTTTTTTTATTTTGTTTTGTTTTCTGAAATTTGTTCTTCCATAGATTCCGTGGCAACAGCATCCGGGCCACTACTAGTTGAAGTTGCCAAAACTCCTGGTGCCAGCCTTGGGGTTGCCCTAACTACCTCGATGTGCTGTAACAAACAGGTCATTGTCATAGACAAAATCAAATCTGCAAGTATTGCAGACAGGTGAGTGTCATAGGAAGTGCCGACTTTTCAAAACTGCATGTGTGTTAAAAAACACACACACGTGTAATACACATACACATGCACATGATAAAAAACAGCTCTCCTGCCAATTTATACAAGTTTGAATTAGAAAATAAGTTCGTGTTCTAGGGCTTAAAAATTCGCTTATCTTATCAGACATCCTGTCATGTAACATCGTCTCATCCAGATGTTTGGCATAGTCCTTATGAATGGGGGAAAAAAAGTCAAACAACTGAGCAAGTTTTCTTACTGTGTCCTAGGGTAATATACTGTTCTTAATGAAGGGTGGCTAAGCAGATCTTTATTACGTTTCATGCAGAGAAGTTATGAGTTTTCCTGAATTATGAACAATTAAATCCTGCCACCATAAAATCTTACTCCTTTTTTCTTAAATAAATAAAACAATATTTTTTTTAAATCACACACTCTTTAAAGAAAGGTCCTAGTGTTATAGTGTGTTAATCTTAGGGTTTCACAATCTTTAAGAATACCTGAAAACTTCATTCATTTCCTATGACGCTGAAAACCGAAGTCCTTTTTTCTGAATTCTTTTTCCCAATCAATATTTTAGACTTACAAGTTATTAAAAGGGGGACAAAAAAGATGACCTTACCACCTAATAAATTATTTTATAGCTCCTGGTAAACAACAACAACAATAACAACAACAACAACAAAAACACCTCCCATAGCTGAAGCACTCCAAGTGCATCCACATGGAATTATAGTTTTAGATGGAAGGGATGAGTTGAAATGATTTTCTTGAGCAGTAGACTATTCTCACTGCGGAAATTTTTAGATATACTCGAATGCCCAGTCTGTCCTGCATGTCTCTAGCCCCCTTCTGCACACGCCCTCGCCATGCCTGGTAAACCTCCGACTGTGACGCAGTGACCAGCAGCAACCCCTGTAGTGGTCAGTCTTCAGCTCCACTGTGGTCTTACCCTACATGCAAACCTTTAATGGTGACGGCCACTGATCCAGGGGTGTTCTCCAGTTCCATAGTGCAGGATGCTTTAATTTTCTCCCTCTGTTTTTTCCCATTCCGCAGGGGGTAACCAGTTTAAGGAGCTGTCCACTTGACTGGTACGTCGGGATGCTGACTGCTGTGTTTGCTTTTCTCAACTCATCCAGTAGCCAGTCTCTTGAGTTCAGCAAGATGTAGCAGCTAGCCCCTCCCCACCCCCAGCTTTCCCCTTCTCTCACGCAGGCCTTGTTTTATTATTCATTTGACTCCTACATAATTTCCATCATCATTGAGAGCTTTTGTACTAACGTTTAACTCCAGAATAACAAAATGAAACGCAATAATAAAGAACCGGAGATCTGGGAGCTTGTGTGAAAGGGTTCTGAGAAAGCATTAGTTGACTCTTCCCCCAAGTTATTCCCATTCACACATAAAATAGTTGTAAATGCCCCTATTCTAACTCTGTCAGTCACATCTTGACATTCTGAATATTTACCAACTCAATTTTAAAAACCTAAGAGGGAAAAACCACAGAAAAAAGTCAAGGGGAAACATTTTTACTCTTCTTCCCTCCTCTGCTGTTCACGTCCCCTCAACTTTCGTCACAAAGGACGAGAGGAAAACATTTCCTTGAATTTTTCTGTATTTTCTACAAGGTTTTACATTCCTATTCATAGGTACTTAACATTTGACAAGCGATGTTTCCTATAACACTCAAACTTTTCCTTTTTTTAAGTAAATGAAAACTGTAAAATTTTTAACTGTGAAGGACATAAAAGTCATATTCCAAAAGAAAGGCACCTGACCATACTGAGCTTTTCTCCCTTCCACAGATGTGGTGCACTGCACGTGGGAGATCACATCCTGTCCATCGATGGAACCAGCATGGAGTACTGTACGCTAGCGGAAGCAACCCAGTTCCTGGCAAACACCACGGACCAGGTCAAGCTTGAGATTCTTCCCCATCATCAGACCCGCCTGGCTCTTAAGGGACCTGACCATGGTGAGAGGATCTGTCTGGTTAAATCTGTCTTCTTGCAGTCATTGCTTCCTCCGGCCCAATTAGAAAGCAGAAAGCCAATGAATTTAATTCTGCCTTTATCATTGCTTTTGAAAACAGCAGGTTATTTTTCTTTGCTCTCCTTTGTTTTTTAAATCCCTTTTCCCAAGCCACATGTCATTTACTTGACACCCCCAAATTGAGGAAACATTGTTTGAGAATGTTTTAGAGAATTTTAGGCTAATACTAATTGATACTTAAAAAAAAAAAAAAAGCCTTTGTGTACATTGAGAGTGGAAAGAAGGAAAATAATTTCACTTCCTATTATTTATATTGAATTTCCACTCTACTTGAAAGAGAATGAAGGCCAGTAGTAAAACTTTCATTTTTAAAAAATAGTTGGAAATTGTGTATTAATAGAATAAATATTCCCTTCAAATATTTTGGGGAACAAATAGTTATATGAAGGGTTGACTTTCTCTATATTTTGTCTGTTTGCCATCATAATGTATTTCTTAGGATGGAGAACAACCTTTCTAACCACGTATCTTTCTTGAGAGAATCATAATATTTGACTGCATTTTTCAGTAACAAGTGTCAGCTGAGGGAATCTACACTGTCACTGTCTTGAAGCTCACAGATATGTTTGCTGAATATTTATATACCATTCACCTAGGCATCTGTAAACAAAACTTGGTGCAAAAACCAAAAATACTTTAAGACCAAAATCAAATGAAGAAAGACTCTTCAGTGGGGTCTTTGTTTTAGCTCCTCCTCCCTCCTTTTTCTTAAACCAAGTGCCCTCCTTTTTTAATTCCTTGAAATCAATTCCTTGAAGCCTCGCTGGCACTCACGAGGTGTCCTAGAGGTGAAGAATGCATTTCTGTATGTTTAGAGAAAGAAAACAATTTTCTCTGGAACTGAAATTTTGCTTATGAGGAGGTCATTTGTGTTCTGTGTCTCCCATCTTCTAAAACACACTGCGCTTTTCCACAATTTGAAAAAAAAAAAAGCAAAAACAAAAACAAGAGAGGGCAGATCATTTTCAGACTGAATGAGTCAGCTGGATACAACCTTTTTTAATTAAATGGAGCTTAGACAGCCCCAGAGCTAATGAAAATCTCTAGTACAGCATTACCTTTATCAGATTTTAATTTCACACATTGGAGTAGAGAAATGATGCAGCATAGGCAAATTGTGAAAAGAAATTCTGCCTCATTTGAGTAGAAATGATATGGACCTCTAGGAGGGTGCAGTCTATGGGAATGCATACCATCCCTGTCAGAGGCTACATGGGCCTTTCTCACCAGCACACTGGCTAAGAGGAGAAATTTCTAGAACTGTAAGTTTCTTCTGAATTAATCTGAAATTGTCATTGGATGTGGAGCACAGTAGGTATAAGAATGCACACTGTGTAGTGCTTTTTCACCATGGGATTTTGCTTAGTAAATTCTGGTGTTGGCGAATCAGAAATGTTTAACAGACCCTCTAAAAATGTCACTGTCTTTAGCAACCTCGTTTTTCTCCATTTAATTTGCCCTATATACAAATCATAAATAATTCAAATAGTTTCCAACTCATGAAATAATAAATATTTTTACCTGCCAAGACAATGATAAAATGCCTTTGTATACTAAAATGTATGGAGACCAAGAACAGTTTTTTTCCCTCACTGTGGAAAACGTAATGTCATTTATGATTTTTCAGAGAACTGGTAATTTAAGTAATTCTAACTTCTAACCCTATCATCCACTTTTGCTGAAAACTGTTCACCCTTTTCTTTACCTAGCATGCAAACATCTCCTTACATATTACATTAAAATCAGATTTGCCCAAATTTCGCCTAGCAACAAAGCATTCACCACGGTGTTTTCACGAAATATAGAAATGGGCATACCAACTAGGAACAAGAGACTAACTGTGCCTTTTGCTGGAAGGTAGCAGTATTTAAAAAGCCAACAAGAATGAGTTTTCATTGAGCTTAGACATTGTTTCCACTGAGCATCTTTGGGAGACATAATCATAACTGAAGGAAACTGAGACTTTGGAAAAGAAAATGTGGGCAGAATTATGAGGTTTGATACATTCAGCACCAGGAAGACTTCCATTCATGAGCTCTAGGAGCAACCACCTGAGTTGCTGTTGCCTGCACCCTCAGACATCCCGGACAAAGCAAAAGGGTACAATTAGAGAGGAGAACAAACAAAAGTGCCCTCCATGCCAGATGCTGCTTAAGACTTCAGCAGTGATGTTACCATGGAATGATGGGAAAAGTATTATTTTTTCACTTGCTGCTTATTCATCTGTAACAAAGGACTTAGGAATAACCATAGTAAGAGCAGTGTAGTGTGAGGGTTGGGGACAGAGCCTCTAGAGTCAGAATTCCAGAGCTTTATTTGTGGTTCCACCTTTTGGGACCTTATGCAAGTTATCCAACTTTTCTATCCCTCAGTTTCTTCATCTGTAAAACAGGCAATATAATAATATCTACCTCATAGATATATTGGGAACATATAACTGAGATAATTCATGAGAGGCCTCGTGTCTGGTATATAGCAAATGCTCAGTAAAAATTGGCTATTATTATTGGGACCGTTAAATGGGAGAAATGTGTGTGAATGTTCTTTGGAAAATGAACGAATGTGACAAAAATGTAACATCTTAGTTTTAAACTCTTGAAATACTTCTCTAATATATGAATATCAAGTACACCACCATAAAACAGAATAGATTTGGAGTGTGTATTCAAAATAGGAAGTAGCTGTCTTCTCTGGCTTACATTATTTGTCAAATAACTTTTGTATTCATTATCCATGGCATGCAATTTTGTGTATTACTATATCTTTTTTGTCTATTATTTCATATGTATGAACACTTGGTTCCCAATAATACTGCAAAGTCAAGGTTAAGGGAATGGTGACTTACATTTAACCTGTTTGCAATAATTGGCACCATGCTAGGCACACAATAGGTGATTGATAATATCTACCTTACGTATTTATGAACTGGGCTTGACAGTTCCAAAAAATGCCCAGTAATTTTCTAAGCATTCCATAAAGAACTGGATAAAAAAGTAAGTGTAGAATTCTGAAGTCCACTCACTATACTTCATTCGAAACACAGACAATACTTTGCTAAGAGTGCAATAGAGTAGCCATGAGTGTAGATTAACCAGACCCAGCAATGATTGCATCTTGCCATAAAAAGTCTTCATGTACATCCCAAAGTAGAATGAGGATGATGAAAGAGAATCCGTTATGGACTTTCTTTGCAATACTCTTTATCAAGGAAAATGCTGCCGTTGTGTGGACATAGACACTCTGACTGATATTCCGATTTATTCATACATTCATTCATTCATCAGTCAATATGTACTAGGCGTTGTTCAAGTTGCTATAATATATCTAGTGAGAAAGCAAAGTAGATTCCTATTCTCATGGAATTCTAGTATACAGTGATAAACATTGAAGATCCATGAAAAGAAGCCATTTCAGACAGTATTAAGTGCTATGAAGAATATAAAACAGTAATGGAATAGTGTGGCACAGGTCAGCCACTTAAGCCACAGAGGTTAGTGACAACTTCTCTGAAGAGGTGGCACCTCAGCTGAGACCTGAATGATGAGAATGAGCCAGCCATACAAACAACTGGGAGAAGAATATTATAGGCAGAAAGAAAAGCAAGTACAAATGTTCTGAGACCGAAAGGAGACTGGCTTGTGTTAAGAACAAATATAAGTCCAGTGTGGCTGAAATAGTCAATGATGAGGAAAGTGATAGGGATGGAGCTGGAAAGATAAGTAGGAGTAACATTTAATTCTCTTTATAATTGTAACCCATTGTAGTAAGTTAAATGGGAGTGATGTAATCTAACTCATGTATTTAAAAGATCGCCCTAACTGTACTGTGGCTACCCAAAAGTTGATATGTAGGAGATGAATCAAGGAGCCAAGTCTGAAGGTGTGGCAGTGATCTAGGTGAAGGAGATGGCAGCTTAAAACTAGAAGAGCGATGAGGGACATGGACTCCAAACTAGAAACAGCAGCAGAGTAGAACGAAAAGGCCGGAAGGTTTAGGGCTACAAAATTACAGTGGCTATGAAAGTGTTCTGCAGATTTCCGAGATATTCTCTAAACTTAAGTGTTCTACGTGTTCCAAATTTGTTGTATGAGAGATACATCTATTTCCGTTAAAGGAAAGTAGATAGAAAGAGAAAGTAGGCAGAATCAATATTACTAATAATAGTTCACTTGGTTTTATTCTGTGTACCAGCACTGTGCCAAGCACCTATGTGCGGTCGTCTTATGGGATAGATGCTTTCATGATCTCCATTTGACATATGAGGAAACTGAGGCTTAGGGAGACTGAGTAACTGGCCAAGGACATAATAGAGAAGAAGAACTGGAGCCAGAGTAGAAACCGAGGTCAGCCTCTGCCCACAGAGATCTGTCTGTGCTAGAGCTTTTGTTCCATATACTGTCTCACTCCAGAAAGGCCACAAAGTGGCCAGTGAGGCTCACATCTAAGATGGTAAAACAAGCTCTCGTCAACATAATCCTCCTTTAAATAGTTACAGAGTATTTGACCTCCCTACATGAATAACTGCTCTTAAATAATTCACATGTAAGGCATCTAACATTAGAATCATGACAGGAGAAGGTGATATAAGTTCGTATGTTATTGTTATATGAAAAATTTCATATCAGACATAGTAACAAACATAATATTGGTCATACTTTACAACACTGGGTAGAAAATCAAATTTAAACAATGTTGAAATTAGAATGGGAACACAATATACATTTTTAAAAATAATGAGGATTATAAAATTTTTAAATAAACTTTATTAAAATTTTATGGCATCTCAAGGAAATATAAGAACATGTGAAATAGTTCAAGAATTAAAATGAATCTCTTTCAAATGAAAATCCATTTTTTCAAAAATACAAAACAATATTAAATATGTTGAGACTCTTATCTTCTCCTTGTTAGGATAAGATTCTGATACTGATAGATGATTAGAGTAGTGTATTGTTGAGAAAAATCAAGTCCAAGTGATGGATCGTAGCATAATTAAAACGTCAGAGTGGTCAATTGTGATGTGTGACCAGTAAACCACTGAATCATGAACCCATGTGATTTATTGTTTCTTCTTTTTTTTTTATTTCCTCAAAACAAGTGCTACTAACTAGCCAAGATTTGCAAATCTTTAATTTCTAATTGTGTGCCATAAATCTTTATGGGATTGACTTTTAAGTTTAAAAAAAAATGTTTTTAATCTCTGCTGTGAAGCACAGGGGGAGATTGGAAATTGATTCAGTAGACATCTTAAAAAGTGGGGGAAATGGGCTGGGGAATGACAGGCATTATTCTTGGGAAGATGAAAGTTTCCCTCCCTGATGTTAATCATCTGTTTTGCTGACCACTGAGAAAAGGGCATCGCCAGGAAGATTTCCTTACTTCCTTTTTTTTTTTTTTTTTTTTTTTTTGCAAGTGGCTTTCGTTTTTTTTGTTGTTGTTGTTACACTTTTTATTCATGCAATTCAGTTACTTTTTCCTCTTTTTTGGTTCTTTGTTTGTCTGTTTGTTCTTCTTATTTTCCATCATCACTTCATATGGGCAGTGAAAATTCAGAGGAGCGACAGGCAACTTACCTGGGATTCCTGGGCCAGCAACCACTGCAGCCTTCACACCTACCATCACTGTAATATGCACCATCCTGACCTTTGCAGAGTGCCAGCCCTGACATTCCCGAAAGCGCCTCCTCCAAACAGCCCTCGTAATGTTCCAGGCTTTTTCCTCCCGGTCTTTTACTTAAATTATGTTTTTCTCCTTCCTTCCTCATCTGATTCATACCATATTTGGCTTCATGGGTGTTTTGTGCTTTTTTTCGTAGTAGCAACTTATCATTTCTGACATCTCCTAAGTCGTTTTCTTTTCCATCAGAAAGCATTTAGGAAAAGATGCAGATGTTCAGGATGCTTTATATGTGGTCAGGAAATAACAATGTAGAATATTATACAGTGTACAGTGTTCTCAGATCTTGTTTGTGTATGTGGAATCACTTGTGAAATTCATGCCAGAATATATCTATGAAAATGAGATTATGTATCTGATGCATTGTGTTGTTTATGGAGAAACTTGTTTTAATGTTTGGAGTTTCATTTGTTTGTTTAAGTAAAATTCCTAGAGCTTTTCTGTATTCTATTGTGCTTATGAGGCGCATCATGCTGCTCCTCAGGCGTTTGCGGGCACTTGCAACTCCGATTCTAAAGCGCTGTCTCCATGGCTTCTGCAACGGTCTCTGTCTTGTTGGGGTACCTGCTAGCCATTGCTGTGTATCATGTGTGTCTTTCTGGGCTGTTATGGATTGGCAAGTGTGGCAGGCTCACACCCCACCTGAGAATGCTCTGTGCCAAGTCTTCACTCTCTTACAGCAGCTTTGGTGTCTTCATCCTTCTCTCCTACCTCCATGAGTGCATACAGCCTGAGTTCCCTGAACATGGGGACTTTACCTCGAAGCCTCTACTCTACTAGCCCACGTGGAACCATGATGAGGAGGAGACTGAAAAAGAAAGACTTCAAAAGCTCACGTAAGTGAAATAGTAGCCAGTGTCCTTTGGCCTGGAGAAAACGTGGTCAGGTTAGAGTCTTTGATATACAGAAGCCTATGGGAAGAGTATTTAGAGCCAACATGATCAGGTAGATGCTAAGTGGCTCTGTGCCAAAGACCTTTGAAATGATGTCCATTATATATATGATATTGATTACAGGGAATACAATTTCAGACTGAATTAGTTTGCTCATACTGCCTTTGCCTACAACTCTTTATTTGAAACTTTTTCTTGCTCCTTTGGTTTAATAAGGGACTCAAAGATGTGATTTTTTTTTTAATTTAAAACTCCTTTTTTATATTCTGGGTAACTTTAGACATGAAACCTTTGTTCTTAGTTTCTTATTCTCTCTAAAGCAATTTTTTTTGAAAACTATGTCCCCTTTTAATAAATATAAGAATCTCACTTATTTGTTTAACATTATTATAAATTTCACATTAAATTATATTTCAGGATCCTTCCCCTTCCAAAAACCAATGATAAGTTTGAACATGCCTTTTCAAACTATACCTCATTCACTAAGATTCAAGTACTTTCCCCAGGAACCTACCCATTGAGAATCACTGCTGTAACATGTATTTCTGTTGCTCATTACAGCCATAGGAATATCAGAAGGATGCTTATCCTTATACCAAGCACCGTAAAGTCTAGGAATTTTAACTATGATTCTTGGAAGTATGGGACATCTAAGCACAGTATAGACTTGGCAAGACTAGGAAGATGTGGTCGGCTACTTGATTTTTGGATAGCAGGTTGTACATGTGAGGGGGAAGAAACTGTAAATGAATGCATTAACAGAGAAGAAACACAAATTTTTCTTCTCTGTTGGGGAAGATCATAATCTCTCATTACCATCACATAAGTTTTGGAGGAAGAGAACATCTATCTTTCCAACCAGATCTAATCATAGTCTAGAATGTGAGTGTTTTTTGTTCTATATGTCCCTATCAATGAGCATGATTATGATTCCTACCCAGAAGCTCAAAGAGGATGTGGTCTCTTCCCGTGCTTACCATAAGAATTAAATAAGGAATACCCTTAAGTTACTCAAATAAAACCAAACCTAGATATTTCAAAGCTGATAGTAAAGAGAGAATGTTCTTGTGAGAAGGGGTGGTTAAGCCTGTTGGTGCTTCAGCTTATTTGCCAGAGATTCATCTTTGCAGGTGGATGTGTCACTAATCCCACCAGCGCCACCATCAGTGTAGGAGACTAGCTGTCGCCCACACTGGGAAATGGTCTTTTCGTGTTACAAGGACCTGAAGGTTTCCTTACAAAGAAAACCATTGGTGTGGTGTAAACCTTGAATATTGTGGTGTATTCATGATTTGACTTGCATATTCAAATATGAATGATTGTCATCTTTAGTATATGTACATGATAGTCAATTTGAAATTAGGAAAGTAGAAGGAAGTTTAGTTTAGTCAAAATGAGGACAAGGAGCTTCTAAAATCTCACATGTTTCTTAGCTGACACTTGAATAGAGTATTTACTCTTGGAAGAAACTAGCTGAAGGCGGTATATTGAACTGGACACAAGCATAGACTCTGGAACCAGGCTGCATGGGTTCTCATGCCAGCATCATTAGTTTTGAGCTGTAGGACCTTAAGCAAGTTTCTTAATCTCTCTATTAATTTGTTTTCTTATCTTAAAAATGGAGGTAATTATAGTATTTACTTCATTAGGTAATTGTGAAGATTATATGAGAGAGAGAAAGGTTGAGAGAGAGAGAGAGAGAGAAAGAGAGTATTCTCATCACCAAAAGGGACACACAGGGCAAAAAATACACTCTAGACTATGAAATTAGTACTATAATTATATATTTATGGTTACATAATTATTTATAGAGAGAACAACACTTGATAAATGGTAAGTACTATTTAATTCTTAGCAATTTTGAATAGTTTAAGTGTTAGCTGTTATTATGCCTGAATCTGAATTGTCATGTGTGAAACTATTGACATTGCTCTCAAATTGATGCATTTTTTATAGTGGTTACACTTTGGCATAATACATAGGTCTTGAGTCTTCCATATAATGCCTCCAGGGTCTGTGGCAGAAATTTGTATATGAATTTTTTTACATATAATAGCTTCACGTGTAGCACTCCTCACTGACAGAAACAGGCTAACAGCCCTCTGCAGGGAAGAGCAATTAAAATGAATTCATTAATGTTTGTACTTCTGCTTCAATGGTTAAACATTTGTTTGTATTATGTAAGACTCGCTATGTTGATTAAGGACATTAGTGATTAAATGAATGGTAATGTTTGCTTATCTCGGGTTGATATTTACGCATCTTGAATTTTGTAGTATGAAACAAAGCTGAGGCCACATTTTCACTGATATCCATAACCAACTCATCAATTCTCTCTTGAATTAGCACATTATTCTCCAACATAGTAGAAATATAAACACAAACCTGGTTGAAGAAATTTCTAGTTATTTGCGTTTGCTGTAGACATTAGCCACTGCAGAACTACTTTTCTTCTTCTTTTTTTTTTTTTTTCTTGCTCAAGTTTAGAATGGTCACATTAGATGTAAAGGTTTTCTCAAGTAACTGCTAATAAAGGTTTTATTGCCACTCTCACTACACCATGGTATATTTCCACCACTTTACTTATGTCTTTATTCTGTGCCACCATTTGCTGCCCCCTTTTTCACATTTATGTTTCTATAGCAACCATGCCATTTGTATGGATGGTGAATCATGGCAAAGTCACAAATAAGGATAAAAAGTCTCTTTGCTGTATTGGTGATGAGCTGAGGCCTGAACTTGCAAAACAAAAAGAATGTTTCTAGTATAAAGGAAGGACATGGCTAGAAGAGAATAAAATCTTCTCATATAAATATGAAAACATTCTGTACCATCCACCAGAGGGGAAAATATAGGGAGTCTGTGACAACATGTTATAAGCATTAAAACAGGAAGTGCTGTGTTTGTTTCACAAGGACGATGATGAGTATCACCAGCACTAGGCTTTGAGGAGTGTCACAAAGCTCTGAGAGTGTTGCAGAGCCACGTGACAGAGGGACCCCACTTGTCACCTCTTCTGGAATCTTAATTACCTTTTCCCTGCAGCCTGAGCTGCCCCTTTTTTCTCCTGAAGAGGCCAAGTCTCCTAGGACCCCGTCATCCCCCAGTGATGGCGACATGACAGCAGTGGATTTGGCTAGTTACCCCTGCTTTCTTCTTCCTGCTCTCATACACGGAACCAGCGTAGAGACTCTGCCTGTTCCCAGTCTGCCTGAGGTGCAACAAAGAGTACAAGTTAGAACACATTTCTAGAGTAGTCTTTGCCTCTTTTTGTCATCATCACTTCCTCCTAGGGAGGGCAACATTGAAAAAAGCTAAAAGGAAGAGAATGCAAAAAAACTAACAACTTTTATCCCTTCAACCGACCCCTGAAAAAAAGAACAGAAGACATCTAATGCTACGCTTTTGATACCTAATGGTACGCTTTTATAAGAGACCATGCACAGAGCCTTCGCAGGAGATAGCTTGAGGTCTGCCCCGCACTAGCCCCCATATGTAGAGGGGACTTGTTAGCCACCTGCACTGTGCCCGTAAACTGGATCACGTGATAGCCAATGTGTTGGGTCCAAAGCAGGTCAACCCTAAATGTGGGCCACTTTAATGAGATAGAGGTCGTAAATTATAGGAACAAATAATCACAAACATGGTGTATTAATAAATCTTTGAGGTCCTTTGCTCTCTATACTTGTATATACTTTCCATATCTGACAGTAAAACTCACTGCCTTCTTCTAAATGAAGGAAACATTTGGCTGGTTTTTAAACTTTAGGAGTTAAAGAGCTATCTCTGGTTCTCCTCCAGAGAATTGAGGAAAGACAAGAATTGAGAAAAACACAGGGGCATTTCCTGCAAACCCGAATTATTGTGAACTGAACCCTCCAAGTGTGAATGGGAACGGGACAGAGCAGGTCCAAGGTTGAGCACAACCTTGGCACACACCAGTTAGCAGTTTTCAAACAGCATGTCGGCAGTGTAGTCATTTCTGTCTTCACCTGTGAGTAGAATTGGGCATGTCTCAGGCCAGTGCCTTGCAGGGGCATTTGTTACTGGAGAGAGAATCCATTATACAAAATTTTAAACTACAAGATTATAATTCATAAATCACCTTTATTTTCTCCTGCTGGTTGACCACATTAATGAAGTAGGATAATCAAGCTCATCTTTTTCTCTTCCCAGTAATGTTGGTTGTTTTTCCTTCTGGCTCATCATCTTAAATCTACAATTTATCTTTTTCATAGCTGGTAATAATGTTCAAGACTTTAATGCCTGTGGGTAATCAGTACATACATTTCAAATGAAATTTTACTATTTCAAAGAATAGATTCCAATACATCAGAGGACTTTCAGAGTTCATTGTAAAATCTTAGGTTATTTAATATAATCCTATATTTATTAGATAAATTATAACTTCACATAATTATAAAACCAATGTTTAATACATTTTTAATCCTGAATTAAATTTCCTAATGATTTTTATCACCTCAACTTGCCTCTAGATAGAGCTTATAAATTTAATGATCCCACAGTGAGTTGGTACTTATATCTGTGTTCAAAACCTCCTACAGAATGAAATTTTTTATCTTCACTAACTTCCGAAAAATATAGCAAGTTTTTCCTTTAAGAAGGTTTTCACTATATCTAACCCAAACCTCTTATTACTATTAAATTGACTATTTCTTGATTCTTTCTTAGTGGAGATGGTAATCAGCTGACTTAAAAGTTCAAAATAGTTTTCAATAGTTAAGCGGTTCAAAAATCTATACCAAATTGAGATTGCAAATGGAAAATATATATATATTAATGTGAACCTAAAGAAAGATTCACAGAAAGTATCCTTGTTGAAGTCTAAAAACCTTCACCAGAAGTGGAAGTAATCTGCCAAATAGATGATATTCTAATATTATATTCCTGTCTGCTGTTAGTATAACTGGAAAGAAATGCAACTCTCAGATCCTTACTGACAGGAAATAGTATCTTCGAGGGGTTTTGTGCCACCAGTAACAAAACGTATAATCTGGAGAGCAATCAAAATACAGTAAACATCAACAAAGGCACCCTAGAAAATGTGTGATAGTCCGTGTGTCAGACTTTGGAATTGTAGGTCACTACCTATAAAAGTTAGGGTTGGAGGCTACCTCTACTCTCCACTGTAGGCTCCTTTAATCCATTGACATTAATCCTGCTGAGACAGAGCAATAGTGGTGCTTCTTTAGAATAAGTACATTCTTCCTTTCTCTTTTGAAACAAATGATCCACCTCACCATCCTCTGCCATGTCAGCTGCAGTGCTGGAATAATCTGCGCCATAGAAAAATTTGGGTCCGAAAGAACAAGAACGACTTCTAGTTCCTTAACTTAGCAGAATCTACGTGTTGGTTCAAAAAAGGAAAATGTGGATGATATCACAAAATGTAATTCATTCCTCATTTATTTAGCATTCACTGAATGTTCCAGGCACTGGAATCTTAGAGATGAAAATATCTGGTCCCAATTCTTAAAGAACTCGGTGTCAAGTAGAGAGGCAGACAGGCAAATAAAAACCTGATAAATGCTGAAATAGGATCATGTGTTAGAAATCTCAAAATGTAGAAAAGTAAGTACATAATTCTGCCTGGATAAGGCAGAGAAAGGGAAAACCCAGGGTAAGCACTAAGGGGCAGAGGGCATGGTATATATGAAGACAGACGTGAAAGCAGGGCCTGGAGCACATGGCACATGAAGGGAGCATAGAAGAACATGAGACTGGACTGGATGGGCAGGAGAAAATGAACTCGTGAAGGGTTCTGTGTGTTCTGCTAGAACTTGAAGATGTTGTTCCATGGGGAACAGGGAACCATGGAAAGATTCTAAACTGGAGAATGGCCTTCACATATTAGAAAAGCCACTCTGACAGCAATTTGGAAGCTGTTAGCATGAAACAAAAGATAGGGACACTGGTTGGAAGTCTAAATAGTAATCTAGGTTAGCAATAATGAGGCTCTACTCCAGGAGAATAGATAAATGGGACCTCATCATGAAGAGAAAGTTAATCTGGCAATGATATCTAGACAACATTTGGCATGACAGAACCCAGAAACATGTATATTAGAATAATTAAAGTAAAAAGTAATGAAAGCCTGAATTAAGACATTGACAATAAGTGTGGAAAGGGGGATTTATTCGAAATTAATTGAATTTTAGATAATGAGGTGTTGTGAGTCAAAGGCTACTTTGAAATTTCAGGTCTTAAGGACTATAAGCAAAATAGTCCCATAAAATTAGTAGTGGCAGTGAGAAAGAGAAGGCGATTAACTCAATTTTGAAAGTGCTGAGTTTGAGGAATCAATGAGACATCAGTGTGGTTGGGATATCCATCAGTTCAGAAATTCATCACTGGAGAGATACTAGAGAGGTGGATATAAAAAGATACATGCAGAGATCATATTTTAGAAGCATTGGAAGTGAATGAAGGAAAGAATGAGAATAAAAAAGTCTTAGGGCAGAACTACAGGCAACTCAATGTTTGAAGTGCAGAGAAAGTAAAAGAACTGGGAGGGCTGAAAAGGTAAGAAACCAAGAACCAAGCTTCATCGAAACCAGAGAGCAATTTCAAGAAGAAAAGAGTAATTCCCAAAGCCAGTTGCTGCAAAGTGGTTAGAACAGATGAGGCCATTCATTTTGGCAATCAGGAAGTCATCAGTGAGAACAGTTTCAGGAAAGGGTGAAGGGAGACACTAAAGTTTAAGCAGTTTCAGAATCAGTACAAATCCTAGAGAGAGGCCAGAAAGCTAGGGGAGTGAGTAGGAAAGTTGGAAAAAGTGGCAAGAAAAATTTTTATGGCACAGAATCACAGAAGGAGTGGAAAGGAATAGTATCAAATACTAAAAGGAAGAGTCAGCCTTGCAAAAGAAAGATACATCCTCCTGAAGCAGAAAAAAAGGGTGTGAGGGGTTGAGGGGAGAGAACAGATGATGATACAGAGAAATCAAGGTTGAAAACAATGTAGTTTAAGGAACTCTTGTCAAATGGTTGGATCTTTTCAGTCTTTTAGGAAATAAAAGAGAGAGTAAAATTTGACCCTGAAAAGTGTAGAAATGTTTGAGACAGATCCTGTGAGGAATCAAATAAGGTGCCATAATATTACTCAGCAAAAGATTCCAGAGCCCCATAAAGAATAATGTGAAATTGTCACGACTTTCTCTAACAGCCCCAGCAACTTAGTAACAGCAGTAAGTTGACTGGGCATTGCCAAAGAGCACAGAGTATTAGAGTATAGAAAATCACATGAGGTTTAGAAATCTCTGATACTAGCAGATACATCATCGAAGTGGTCCACGGGTCCATATAGAGTTTGGAGGGAAATGATGGTAGTAAAAGGCAATGGGTAAAGATGGTGGCTTTCAAACTGCATTTACCAGATTCCCCTATGAGGGAAGAGGAGGCCTTTGGGGTCTCCCATCCCTACCTCAACTGCAGTAGCTCTATTTCTATCTGAAATATAAAGGTATTCTTTTATGCTCGAATTTCAAAGGGGAAAAAATCTGTTGCTATAAATATTGTTTGAAAACCACTATACTAGGAGATAAGTGAGAGAAAGTGGGACTGGAAGTCATAAAGAGGAGCAAATTAGATTGTAGGGACTGGGAGAGATGGCTATGTGATCAACAAGGAGGATTCAGATATTGAGATCCTGGAGCTCTACTACCCATTTTGAAGGAAGATGGGGTCCACTGTAGGGTTCTGCTGGCAGAAAGCTGAAGTAGGGTGGAATTGCTAGTAACCTGCACTGAGAGAGCTGAAGAACCATAAATCCAGCACATTAGATTATCACCATGATATTAAGATGCTAAAAACAAGGAAAAGCCACAGATTAGAGGAGCTAGATTAAGAGCCAAGTCCTGAAGTCAGTGAGGAAAAGGAGTAGGGAGGCATTGTAAACATAGAAAATTATGGGCTTGAAGATGAGACAAAGTAGAATAAGTACAGAATATGGAACTTTAAGTAGGAGTGGTTTAAAGTAGAGGAAGGAGAGGAGGGAGGGACAGATGGACAGAAGGAAAGAAAAGAAGGAAGGGAGGGAGGAAGGGACGGAGGGAGGGAGGAAGGG